ATACAACCAGATTAACACACTAAGACCCCATTTCCATTGATACCATCGATCTACTTCGCTCGATCCAACTATGCAGGGACTCTCGTTGAGTGCAGTCAGCTTAACTGAATGAACTCCTCCTCTTGTTCCAACGTTCTCGTATAGTCAGCTTTTGTGTGTTCTATTAAACGCTAAGAGACGGCGTGTTAATCTGTTAGTCTGGTTACATTATAATATTTATCAAAATTTTAACTTTTTAATGTGACAGCGTCTACTATACACTTTAACTTTCACTAGATCTTTAAAAGCAAACGTTTTCCATATATCTTTCACATCAGCTGTCTCTTCAGCGTCTTTAGTGCATTTTCTTTACACATTCGTGCTTTAAAGGTACACACGAACCACAGTGACGGCTTTATGTGCCTCTCGCATGATATGCTCGAAAAAAATAAGGCCAAGATATTGTTTGTTGGAATGCTTGCATTAATTACAGACCCCGACATACGTTGACTCAAGTGTGGTTTGGAAGAAAAAATGGACAGGTTGAAACAAAAACATCAACTCCAGATAAATATCGTGTCGGGTAAAAAGCGGTCGCAAAAGCGCACGAGATATATGGATGACTCTACCACAACATGGTGTGTATTCAGACTTTTTTTCTACTTCTTTGCTATCGATACATCCATCGATAGATCCAGACTTGATAAGAGGAGGGGAGGGGGTGTCGGCACGGATAGACCTTACCTGTTTTCGAGAGAAAAAGACGCATTTCCTTATACTGAATGATGAACAGCCAGGATATGAAAATTGTACAAGCTATCAAGGATACTCGCGCGTCTTATATTCCCGCGCGTCAGTCTCCCCTGGCAACGGTTTCTATAGCAGGCCCGTACATGTTGCCAGCTATTGCAAAGGGGGCGGGGGTCTTTTTCTGAAATATGGACTTGTTTTCATGATATCTTAGTTTACCTCGATCAAATTTACCCAAAGTGGTTCTTTACCCCTGTAAAAAAAGGGGGGGGGCTCTTTCGAACCCCACGAACC